TGGCCTAATACACCACGAATATCTGACTTTTCAACTAACTTCTATCCGCTCCATCATCGACGGCTTTCAACCTTCTTTTTCTTCGTCAACCATTATCCTCCTTTTCTCGGTCTCCGGACTGCTTCCGGACAATAAATCTCGTGGCAACTCCGCCTACTTCGGTGCGTGCCCGCCCACCAATAGCATTTGGCCCCCTTCCTTTCGCCAACCTCTAACCCCGTTCTCCTCTATCTCTAGGACTTCTTGGGCCGAATTATGAATTTTCGTCGCAAACTCCGCCCACTTTGGTCATGTCCCGCCCACCATTGACAGCTGGCCTCCACTCCTCCACCCACCTCCATCCACCTTTTCCCGGCCTCCGGGACTTCTTGGAGCCAAGTTATGAATTTTCGTCGCAAACTCCGCCCACTTTGGTCAAGCCCCGCCCACCGATGACAGCTGGCCTCCACTCCTCCACCCACCTCTATCCACCTCCACCTTTTCCCGGCCTCCGGGACTTCTTGGAGACCGAGTTATGAATTTTCGAAAATAGCCCGCCCACTTTGGTCAAGCCCCGCCCACCGATGATAGCTGGCCTCCACTCCTCCACCCACCTCTATCCACCTTTTTCCGGCTCTTTAGGACTTCCCCGACCCGAATTATGAGGGCTTGTAGAAAATGCTGTACACTTCAGAGCGCGCCCCGCCCATTCTGGGCAGGCCTCCGCCCACGTCATGTATGCTGGAAACACCTTAGACATTGCTCCCTTACACCAATTTGTTTTCTGCTCTGTAGGCTTTCTCCCAACCGAGTTATGAAATTTTTCATAAAGCACTGCTTTTTTGGAGAACGCCCCGCCCACCGGGGGTGGGTCTCCCTAATTCGATGTGACTTACCAATGCACACCTTTACCCACTTTTTGGCCCAGTTTCGAGGTCGTTTTCTAAGAGAATCGAAATCTCGGTCGTCAGTACACTTCATGTCGACGCACGCCACGCCCACTGTGGGCGGGGCTCCGCTTAGCTGATGTGTGTTTTGTACTTCGTGAGACCTTGCCCACCCATCCCACACTTGACCCGGTCCCTCCAGGCGGATCCCGAGGAGCTAGGGAATTTCGTGACAGACATACAGAACGACAGACGAAGCGCTTTATAGTAAGTAGGATAGTACTTTGCAGCAACCTTCGCCCACCTTGGCGCCATCCACCAATAGCATTTGACCAGCCTTCCTTCGCTAACCTTTATTCACCTTTTCTTGGCCTATGGCGCCGCTTTAGAGCGAACTACAATGTGTCGTGGCAAACGGCCCGCACATCAATAAGTGTTGACCTCCCTTCCGTTATCAGGCTCTAATCACTTTTTTCTCGGGTCTCTAGTATTTTTTGACCGAGTTAAAGGTTTTAGACAGACTCCGCTCATTTTGGTGACCACCAACAGCTGTCTACCTCCGTTCCGTTGTCGGACTTTATTCACTTTTTCGCGTCTCCAATGACTTCTTGAGATCGAGTTATAAGTTTGATCGCAATCTACGCCAACATTGGCGCGCGCGGCACGCTCACACCGGCATTTAGCTTCCCCTTCTTTAATTCTCTACATTTTTCCCGGTTCGTAGGACTTCTCTAATTAGTGGAGATGAAACCTTTATAAACCATATAATCGGAACGGTTCGTTTCGCTTCTTCCCAGACTCCCTGCCTTACTCGCCATTAGATCATTGAGTTGGAATTATCGAAATAAACCAAATTCAAACCGGATGACGAGGATTTGTAATATACACCGCCCACATGAGCGCACATTCCGCCTTCTTTGGGCTGGATGCCACTCGCTCAAGCTTCTTCTCGAGCGAGTTATGAGCTTTTACTGGGCACCGCCCATTTAGAGCAATAATTTGGCTTACGATTGGTGCACATATTCAGACATTTTTTTCCGATCTTAGGGCTGTTTATACAGTGCGCGTCAATTTTATATGCCACCCCCTAATTTTTTCAGTTTTCCGACTTATTTGGAAATTTCGTAAATCGGCATAGCAACCATCGGTT